TCTGTTTCGCTGAGTGAGCAGTAACCGGTAACGAAGACACGGGAAGTTTGAGGTTAGCCTCCGCCGCTTGTTTACCTCAGCTGTCCGTGCTAACCACAGACCTGTGGCTTTTCTCAAGAAAGTGGGGGCCAGTGGTCCGCTGTGATTGGTCACAATCTGGTCCCAAAACAAATTCTCTTCCTTGTTTCACAAAAACTCGATCTAAAATAAAATGACGCTCCAGCACAAACCTGAGCTACTTATTCTTCAAAAGGACGTTTATCCAAATGCACTGCACGGACATGCACTAAATGTTCCTAATGTATACAAACATAAAGTGAGGTAGTCCAGCTTTAAGTGCATAGGACAAACTGTAAAAAAATAAATGTGGGACCTTTGAAGCAGTGGTACCGATCAGAACAACACGTAGATTATCCAACAGCACCAGTTTAAAAGTGAAATGTAGCTTTAAAATTGCTTATTTTTGTTATTGTCCTGATTCTGACCTGTGACCTGGACGTGGAAGTGGATGTGGTCGTCCCCGGCGCCGCAGGTGTATGTCCCCGAGTCAGACGTGGAGGGACAGTGGACGGTCAGGCGCCGGGTGAGTCCGTCCTCGCTGATGCTCACGTTGGGGTTGGGTTCTATCGGCTCTCCGTCCAGACACCATGTGACCCGGGCACTGGTCCGGGACACCTCGCTCTCTAGGACCAGGGGGACGTCCGCGAGACACTTCAGGTTTTCCTGCAGGTGCTGCGGGCGACGGAGCGAGACGGCCGGTTCTGAAACGGGCACAGACGAGGGTTAAGAGCTGTGATAAAGGTGTATTTGTGTGTGTGTATTTGTGTGTGTGTGTGTGTCTCTGTGTGTTTGTGTGTGTGTGTGTGTGTGTCTGTGTGTGTGTGTGTGTGTGTGTGTGTCTGTGTCTGTGTGTGTGTCTGTGTCTGTGTGTGTGTGTGTGTGTGTGTGTGTGTCTGTGTGTGTGTGTGTGTGTGTGTGTGTCTGTGTGTGTGTGTCTGTGTGTGTGTGTGTCTGTCTGTGTGTGGCTCTCTAATGGACGCACACACGCTGTTTACACACAAAACTTGAACCTGCAACCATCTCCCAGACACACAGATAAACCCACAGCTGTCAGACTGTACAATGAGTCTGCTATTGCTACTTTTCATTGTACATAATTATATCCTGAGTTATTCTCTCTGTGCTTATGTGACGTGTACATTTCTCCATCAGAGATCAATAAAGTCTTATCTTATCTTAAAATTAGCTAAACTTTCTATTGCTCACCAGCGGATACACCCCCGATGGCCAGGTTGGGTACTACAACAAAATAAACAAAAGCAGTAGTTAGAGATATATAGGAGGATTTTCCCAAATATTAGGAAAGACCCGCCCTCTCCACTTTTCAACAAAACCCTCTGGTCTTATTGGACGAGCACGTGTCACCAGAATGATTGACAAGTGGGAGAACCAATAGTCTTGATGATCCACCAGGAAGTAGAAAATCCTCCTTAGTGCAGTACCTTTAAGTCCTGCCTTCATAACACGAGCTGTGGGGGAGCTCAGAGTGCAGCTGCTGCTCCGCCACGTCGAGGGGAGACAACTGAAGTAGTTTGACTGTGTCCAACTCACAGCTTGGGTATATATATATATATATTTTATTTAGAAATGACCAAAAGTATATAAGAAAGTATATAATTTTTTGGGCTTACAGTATCCAGCTATTTTTTCATAATTAAAATGTACTTTAAGTGTTACTGGGAAGCCGAGGATGTGTTAAATGTACTCTACAGATAAAGAGTGATTTTATAGCTGTATATTATTATCAAAATATGTTTTTTTCTGACCTGTGACCGTGAGTAAAAAGGCCACGGAGTGCGTCCTCGGTGTCAATAGCATATTGACATGGAAATTTGGCCTCTTTATTCATTGTTCTCTATTCATTCTTAACATGGCATTTAGTTTAGAGTTGTATTTGGCAAAATTGCATGTCATATCCTATTTTGACTTGTATTCCACATTTGAGTATGTTAAGTTTCATTTAATGTGTTGTGAAACAGCACCTCCCTCTGGATTGCATATTGCATATTGCATTGCCACATGGTTTGAGTGCAACTTAATTCAATATTCTATGCAGTTCTTGACCCCTGGGAAGGCGGGCCCTGGTCCGCTCTCGGCCAATCAGAGACGAGTCTCTGTTAAAAACGGGCTGCTCTTGGTCGGTCACCAGTCACAGTTAATGTGAAGCTGATTCAGAAAGTGACATGGCATATCTTCTAACTACAGTGGGCACACTTGGATCTTCAGACGCACTCCGAGTCAGCACCGTGCGGAGAAAAACACAAGTTGTGAACTGTTATGCTAAGGTGGCCCTCAGTTGTAGCCATAGTGTACACTTTATGGTTTTAGTGCGATTTATTCCTAATTTCCTATATGCTCATTCCTCGCTTAAAATAGCAGAGTTACTGCCCTTCGACTTGTTAGCAACAGTTCACAACTTGTGTTTTTCTCCGCACTGTGCTGACTCGGAGTGCGTCTGAAGATCCAAGTGTGCCCACTGTAGTTAGAAGATATGCCATGTCACTTTCTGAATCAGCTTCACATTAACTGTGACTGGTGACCGACCAAGAGCAGCCCGTTTTTAACAGATACTCGTCTCTGATTGGCCGAGAGCGGACCAGGGCCCGCCTTCCCAGGGGTCAAGAACTGCATAGCATATTGAATTAAGTTGCACTCAAACCATGTGGCAATGCAATATGCAATATGCAATCCAGAGGGAGGTGCTGTTTCACAACACATTAAATGAAACTTAACATACTTAAATGTGGAATACAAGTCAAAATAGGATATGACATGCAATTTTGCCAAATACAACTCTAAACTAAATGCCATGTTAAGAATGAATAGAACAATGAATAAAGAGGCCAAATTTCCATGTCAATATGCTATTCATTTCAAAATCTTGTAATTTGCAATATATAAAGACATTGTATCGACACTTTACATATTGAATTGCCATTAGAACTTTTGGAATAGAACATTAAATGTCAAAATTGGATATAACATTACACTTTGACAAATAAGAATACAAAATAAATACTAAAATAACATAATGCATAGCCATTTGACAAATGAATAGACAATTGAATTAAGGTGCCAATAGTCTTCCATACTCAAAGACCCTTCCTAGCAATAATCATTCACTCCATACACAAGGATGATAAACTACAGATTCCGATGCAGTCTATTTGCCGTTTGCAGTAAAACCACACTGGATACATCTTCCAAGGTCCCCAGTGTGCACCAGACAAGTACATGAATAAAACAATATTAAAAGTATAGGAATAACAATTGACACTGTAAAATCTGTATCCACAGCTAATGTCTTGCTAGCTCCAGTATTGTTCAGTTGCTGTTTGCTTCTTCTTCTTCTTTACTTGCAGACATCACTCCTTCACAAAACTCTACTGCAAACACCGACCATGGACATTTTTGGAGGTGCGCCGCGTGTTCTGGGCTACTCACGGCCTGTTCTAGCCCCGTGTGGCACCGACGCCACCTTACGTTGCCAAATTGGCGGAGACCCTCGACCAGACGTGGTTTGGGAGCGAAAAAATGTTCAGATTTTGTCAGAGGGCCGGTACAAGCTTTCAGAAGACGGCAAGGCGTACCTTCTCACCATAGCTTCGGTGACCTCAGACGATGCAGGCCAGTACATCTGCAAAGCCAAAAACAGTGTGGGCGAAACATACGCAGCCGCGACGTTGAAAGTAGAAGAACAACAGCCAGACAAACAGATAAACGGCAATTTGAAGCAAGTGAATGGGCATGAGAAGCTGCACAATGGGGAATGCGGGACAGAGAATGGAAGGTTGGCGAACGGAGAGGAAAAGTCAAACGGGTTGACAGAAAAAACAGATGAAGAAGAGTTGAGTTCGGACCGTCCGCGATTCCTCATCAAACCCTTGTCGTTGCGAGTGGATCGAGGAGAAGACGCGGCCTTCTCCTGTAAGATCTGGGGGAATCCGATGCCCGAAGTCGAGTGGCAAAAAGATGGTAAAAAGCTCGACGATATCTTTGAGAACTCTCATTTTAGCGCCAACAGCCAAGACGGTGGTTGGTTCCAGCTGAAGATCTACCGAACGAGAATGCCGGACAAAGGGGTGTACACGTGCAAGGCCGTCAACTGTAATGGCGAGGAGCTGGCGGGCGCCGTTCTCCTCGTTGAGCCAGTTCCAGAGAGAGAAGAAAGCAAGAGGTCATCGAGTGGGCGCACCAACAGCCAACAATCACCCAAGCTACGAGGCGGGAGGCTGGGGATACTCAGGTGTGGCCAATATATACAGTTCTAAATAGTTCTATAGTTCTAAATTCAGTCACATACACTGTAGTTTCCTCTTTGTCTGTAATTACAATGAACATTTCTGTCATGGAATATGTTTTGTACTTCAGGGGCAGAGCGTTTCCCAGTCCCTTTACATTATCTGAGCACATATCAGCACACCAGACCCAGAAGGACACGTAATGTTCCCCATGTTTATATATTTATATGAAGTAATCAATTAATTTATCAATTCGAAAGTTCTGAGAAAGTTCTTCAACAAGTCCAATGTGTTATGTGCGACTAATTAAAGTCTAATAAGAGATTGTTCAATTTGTGCAAAGCAGACGAGAAGAGACCGTCATGGCTTCAGTTATTTGGTCTAAAGTTGTTATTGTCGATTTCTAATTGTCTGAAAGGAACAAAGATGAACCCTCGGTAAACCCGTCCAAAGTGAAGAAGTTTGCGGTGGCGGAGGGGAAACATGCCAAGTTCCGCTGCTTGGTGACGGGAAAGCCCAAACCGGAGATTGTGTGGAAGAAGGACGGGGTCTCGCTGGAGCCCGGCAGGAGGCACCTGATGTTTGAGGACCGCGAGGGATATTACACACTGAAGGTTCTGTACGGCAAGAGGGAGGACACGGGCTTGTACGTGTGCGCCGCTTCCAACGCACTGGGGAACACGCTCAGTGCCGTGCATCTGAGTGTCAAAGGTAAGACCAGGATCGACACACAACGGTCTATAAGAGTCAGGTGAACAAGTACACACAATGGTCCCCAAAAGTCAGGTGAACAGGTACACACAGTGGTCCCCAAAAGTTAGGTGAACAAGTGCACACAATGGTCCCCAAAAGTCAGGTGAACAAGTACACACAATGGTCCCCAAAAGTCAGGTGAACAAGTACACACAATGGTCCCCAAAAGTCAGGTGAACAGGTACACACAAAGGTCCCCAAAAGTCAGGTAAACAGGGACACACAATTTTCCCCAAAAGTCAGGTGAACAGGTCCACACAGTGGAGGACAAAAGGAAGAAGAGGGTAACAACGTGCATGAAATGTGGGTTAGGAGCTGGTTCAATTCAAGTTATCTCAGAGGCCAAAGCCATACACTTAGAGCCATTGGTCCATAAGAGGCCGATGACCAATGTCCATAAATGTTGATTAAGTCCTGGTCTGAACCATAGACTGTATATATTAATGGACAGAGTCACGCCTATCTCCGCCGTTCTAACTAATGGACCAAAAAATGTGCTCTACTGGAGCTATCCAAAATGGCCGCGAGTGGTCCCGCCCACAAGAAAATTGTGAAAAAACGCATCTACGCATGCGTCAGCCGGCGCAGCTCCATTCATTTAAACGAGAGACTTCAAAAATTCACAACAAGTAAACTAGAGTGGACCAAAAAAATCCACCCCCCTCAGCATTGACACACATGTGGAACGGAGCTTTGGGCCAAGAGCCAACTTTTGGTCCATCCTGTAAAGACGTTTTTGAGAGGTCTGCCAACGCTATATGTTAGCATTGGCTAATTCTACTTCCGGGTCCACCCCCACAGGCCCGGGGTGGTATTGCAGCATGTCAGCGCACGTCATTTTGGCCACTTTTGAGCCGGGACCCGCCCCCACTGGTTAGAACAGAAATTAGCGATGGAGACTTTTCTAATCCACTTTATTTATTTAGAACATTTTATAAAACAAAGTGCTGCATAGAGATTAAATCAACACATTTAAATATATAGGTTTGCCAGCCTTATTTAAAAAAAACAAAAACAAAGTGAAAACAATACAAATGTGATAAAAAACATTAAAATACCAGTTTTACTTTTGTTACTCTACTTGTCCAAGGCCCATCCGTGCGGTTCCGGCGGCAACTCAAAGACGTGGAGGTGGCGGAGAACGACGTGGCCGTGCTGGAGTGCGAGGTGCCCGACGAGTCCCTGCCCGCCGCCTGGTACCTGGAGGACCAGAGGCTCATGCCCAACCAGAAGTACGGCATGGAGCAGAGGGGAACGCGGCGCCGCCTCACCATCCGGGACGTGGGCACCGACGATGACGGCGTTTACCTGTGCGAGATGCCAGATGGAGCCAAGAGCATCGCCGAGCTCTCTGTCAAAGGTTTGTCTTGTTTTGGTTTTGCCGAGCTGAGAAACTGGCTTCGAGTCTGGGGCGGAATCTAAAAGAATCCGTTCTAAATTCATTAATGATAATAATAATAATGCATCGGTTTTTATACAGCGCTTTTCAGGACGCTCAAAAACGCTTCACACGTTATTATTCATTCACTTCATAAACAATGGTCATAAACTACCATTGTAGCCACAGCTGCCCTGGGGCACACTGACAGAAGCGAGGCAACCTGTATGTGCCATCAGCCCCTCCCACCACCACCAACCATTCACACACACACCAGACTCATTCTTAAGTCAATTTTTACAGACTATAAAAACAGTTACAGGCAAATAAGAAGTTCTGACCCTGGAAGAGAAAATACAGACAGAATATTTGGACTCAAACAAAACCGTAGTGAATCAATACAAAGATTTCAAAGGCTAAAAACATATATATTTTAAACTAAATCGCAGCAAAGTCACAACGTGCACCTCTTTGCTTCCTCCAGGCCCCATCGTGCGGAAACTCCCCCGTAAGATGGAGGTGCTGGAGGGGGAGAACGCGGCCTTCTGTGTGGAGGTGGACCAGGACGAGATGGAGGTGCACTGGTTCAAAGACGGACTGCGGCAGCACGAGTCGCACCACACCATCCTCAAGTCCTTCGGCAAGACGCACATCCTGGTCTTCGTCAACGTGGCCCACCATGACTCCGGAGTGGTGACCTTTGTAGCCGGCAGGTCCACCACCACCTCACGGCTAAGAGTCAAAGGTACGGAAGGATGCGTGAAGTAATCGGACATTAACGAGTGGAAAGATAAAAACTTTTCTGTGTTTTATTGTTTTTGTGTATAACTGCATTAGGCCAGTTTCAGAGTTCCTACAGAGTATTTACAGACAATGAAAACCGGGCATGCATTATATAGTTGGAATATCTGTGCTACAGTAAAGACGCCAACTCACAGGTGAAGTGAAGTCGCCAGGACCTTGGTTATTATCAGAATCAGAGTCAGAATCATTTTTATCTCCTGTAAGTTACAGGAAGTGAGTCACATGTCTGCGTTTGTCCATTTGGTCTGAGTCTGTACAAGTTTCATTGATAATAATTCACTAGTAACTTTGTCTCTATAGTCGCTTTTACCTGTTATTATTATTACTGCAGTATTACATATCCATCTGATACTACTAATAATAATGCATCAGTTTTATAAAGCGCTTTTTTGGACACTCAAAGACGCTTCACATGTCATTATTCTTTCATTCTGTAGCCACAGCTGCCCTGGGGCACACTGACAGAAGCGAGGCAACCAGTATGCGCCATCGGCCCCTCCGACCACCACCAACCATTCACACACACACCAGACTCATTCTAGGCAATGGGGGTGAAGTGTCTTGCCCAAGGACACAACGACAGCAGCCAGTCGATGGTGAAAGTCGGGCTCGAACCCACGACCCTCTGACTCAAAGGCCAATGTTCTACCTAGTCACTAGTCACTTTACCTGTTGATATTATTACTGATGTTTATTCTCCGCTGCTTAAGAACAATGTACACATCTGTAAATACTCCTGAACCAAGTGCAATTATAGCTCCAGCGTTTATTCTGTTTAATTCTTAATCTTTTTTTAATTATATTGTCTATTATCTCTAGGCGACAGTAGCTCAGTTGGTAGAACATTGGCCTGAAGGTTGTGGGTTCAAGCCCACCATAAGACCTACTTCACGACTCCCACTGATGACTGCTGTTGTTGTGTCCTTGGGCAAGAGACTTTGCCCCACTTTGCCTGAAGCTCCCACTGAAAGATCTCAGCTCCTGTGGACTCACCACCTGCAGGAGGATAAGTGAGGGGCTGGTGCTAAGTGGACTGGGTGTAGCTCTGACTGCCCCCCCCCCGACCCAGAAATGGATTAAGGGGAAGAAAATGGATGGATGGATGGATGGTCTATCATCTCTGCTGTAATGTGCAACAATAACACTGTGAGACGAGTAAAGGAATATCTTGTCTTATGTTTGTGAAGGCCGGATTCCCCACGTGTTTGAAATCAACCAAGCTTAAAAACTGTCCTCTCTCGCCGCAGCCACCAGACACCTCCCGCCCGTCTGTCCGGTCGACATCCGAATGGACGACGAGCGGCCGAACAGTGCGCTGCTGAGCTGGAGTCCGGCCGCCCACAGCCAGAGCAGCACCCGGTCGGTTTTTGTGGTGGAGCGGAGGGAGGTGGGGGCGCAGGAGTGGCACCGGTGCTTCAGCTCCGAGACCGCCACCTCGGCCGACGTGAGCGGCGACAGCGTGCCCGAGGAGGGGGACTACCGCTTCCGGGTCTGCTGCATCAACAAGTACGGGCGCAGCGGCCACGTGGAGTTCCCCCGCGCTGTGCACCTGGGTGAGGGAAAGGAGAAGGATGTTTAGTCTGGTATAGCATGGGTTAGACCAGTCCAGACTTCCTATACAGCGACCTGGCTTCACACAAATGTCCTTCTCCCATCAATTCTTTTGTTTGTTGCTGTTATTGATGTTAAATGTTAGTGGTAGTGTGTTGGATTGGATCAAAAAGTGACTTCATGTAAATAAGAAACAGAAAGGCAAGCAGGTAGTGGAGAGAGGAAGTTGGCTGGATGTTTGTACCTGAATACAGGACAGAAAATGGAAAGCTGAAGGCCAGTCCCTGTGCTCCTCAGAGTCCCAGCAGGAGGCCAGTCCCTGTGCTCCTCAGAGTCCCAGCAGGAGGCCAGTCCCTGTGCTCTTCAGAGTCCCAGCAGGAGGCCAGTCCCTGTGCTCCTCAGAGTCCCAGCAGGAGGCCAGTCCCTGTGCTCCTCAGAGTCCCAGCAGGAGGCCAGTCCCTGTGCTCCTCAGAGTCCCAGCAGGAGGCCAGTCCCTGTGCTCTTCAGAGTCCCAGCAGGAGGCCAGTCCCTGTGCTCCTCAGAGTCCCAGCTGAAGGCCAGTCCCTGTGCTCCTCAGAGTCCCAGCAGGAGGTCAGTCCCTGTGCTCCTCAGAGTCCCAGCTGAAGGCCAGTCCCTGTGCTCCTCAGTGTCCCAGCTGAAGGCCAGTCCCTGTGCTCCTCAGAGTCCCAGCAGGAGGCCAGTCCCTGTGCTCCTCAGAGTCCCAGCAGGAGGCCAGTCCCTGTGCTCCTCAGAGTCCCAGCAGGAGGCCAGTCCCTGTGCTCCTCACAGTCCCAGCAGGAGGCCAGTCCCTGTGCTCCTCAGTGTCCCAGCTGAAGGCCAGTCCCTGTGCTCCTCAGAGTCCCAGCAGGAGGCCAGTCCCTGTGTTCCTCACAGTCCCAGCAGGAGGCCAGTCCCTGTGCTCCTCAGAGTCCCAGCAGGAGGCCAGTCCCTGTGCTTCTCAGAGTCCCAGCAGGAGGCCAGTCCCTGTGCTCCTCAGAGTCCCAGCAGGAGGCCAGTCCCTGTGCTCCTCACAGTCCCAGCAGGAGGCCAGTCCCTGTGCTCCTCAGAGTCCCAGCAGGAGACCAGTCCCTGTGCTCCTCAGAGTCCCAGCAGGAGGCCAGTCCCTGTGCTCCTCAGAGTCCCAGCAGGAGGCCAGTCCCTGTGCTCCTCACAGTCCCAGCAGGAGACCAGTCCCTGTGCTCCTCAGAGTCCCAGCAGGAGGCCAGTCCCTGTGCTCCTCACAGTCCCAGCAGGAGGCCAGTCCCTGTGCTCCTCAGAGTCCCAGCAGGAGGCCAGTCCCTGTGCTCCTCAGAGCTGGTTCATATGGCACTAACATGTCACAGATGGAGAGACTTGTAACAAACATAGCTGCTTTAAAGTCTACTCTAGAGAGTAAGCTTTAGACTCAGTCTCAGTCGTCGACCTTTTAGGCCCGTGTCTTCTTCAGCAGCATTGACAGGACCCGGTTTTTGTGTTATCACTCATAATCTCCACAATTTTGCAACTTGATCCTCGACTGTATACTCCACAAGTGCACGTACCTTTGACACAAGTACCTGCGTTTAATATTGTAGTTTTATTATCTATTACCTTAAATGATTATGTTTAAAACCTCAGAGCTCTTATATCTCCTTTTATTCTTCTCTAACGTGCACAATCATGACGTAGTGTTGAAGTAAAGTCTGGTCTGATCTCAGTCCTGGGTCCAAAGATCTGCACGCCTCTGCGATGGTGCGAGGTGGTGGAGGGGGAGGAGGCGCGCTTCACCCTGGAGCTGTCGGCGTCCATGGTGGGCACCTGGTTCCTGAACAGTTCCCAGCTTCAACACGGGGGGCGCTACACCGTGACACACTCGCAGACCTCCCACAGCCTCCTCATCCAGGAGACGCAGGCGGCCGACGACGGAGCAGAGGTCACCTTCATCGCCAACGGGGTCCGAGACTCGGCGGCTCTCAGGGTCAAACGTGAGTGGAGAGTTCTGTTAGAGCTTTGGACCTTAAACGGATGTAGGAAGATTTTCTACCTTGGGTGGATGTTAAAGAGTATTGGTCCTCCCAATTGTCGATCATTCTGACCACTGTATAGAAGAGGTCCTATAGTCTTGGTCTGGTCCAGGTCACAACCAGAGAGAGACCAGAGAGAGACCAGGGAGAGAGACCAGGGAGAGACCAGAGAGAGACCAGAGAGAGACCAGAGAGAGACCAGAGAGAGACCAGAGAGAGACCAGAGAGAGACCAGAGAGAGACCAGAGAGAGACCAGAGAGAGACCAGAGAGAGACCAGAGAGACCAGAGAGAGAGACCAGAGAGACCAGAGAGAGAGACCAGAGTGAGAGACCAGAGAAAGACCAGAGAGAGAGACCAGAGAGAGACCAGAGAGAGACCAAAGAGAGACCAAAGAGAGACCAAAGAGAGACCAAAGAGAGACCAGAGAGAGACCAGAGAGAGACCAGAGAGAGACCAGAGAGAGACCAGAGAGAGACCCAGAGAGAGACCAGAGAGAGACCAGAGAGAGACCAAAGAGAGACCAAAGAGAGACCAAAGAGAGACCAAAGAGAGACCAGAGAGAGACCAGAGAGAGACCAGAGAGAGACCAGAGAGAGACCAGAGAGAGACAAGAGAAAGACCAGAGAGAGACCAAAGAGAGATCAGAGAGAGAGACCAGAGAGAGACCAGAGAGAGACCAAAAAGAGACCAAAGAGAGACCAAAGAGAGACCAAAGAGAGACCAGAGAGAGAGACCAGAGAGAGACCAGAGAGAGACCAAAGAGAGATCAGAGAGAGAGACCAGAGAGAGACCAGAGAGAGACCAGAGAGAGACCAGAGAGAGACCAAAGAGAGATCAGAGAGAGAGACCAGAGAGAGACCAGAGAGAGAGACCTAGACCACTGTTCTTGAGTGGTCCAGGTCTCGATAATAGAAAAGGTCTTATATCTTGGTCTGGTCCTCTTCAATCTAGATAATAATTGATCCAGTCTTCGGACGTTCACTGATTCAAAGTTTCACATCCCTCTCTCGTCTTCGTGTTCCAGCCGCCGTGTTCACCTTTAACCCTCTGTCCCCGTCGGACGCCACTAAGACGGTGGAGGAGGGCGCGGCCATCGTGCTGTACTGCGAAGTGTCCCACCCCTTCGCCCCCGTGTCCTGGAGCAAAGACGGAGAGGAGCTGAGCGTACGCGACGGCCTGAACCTCCAGGCGGACGGGCTCATGCGGAGGCTGGTGCTGCTCCAGGCCGGACCGGAGCACGCTGGGGAGTACTCCTGCCAGACCCAGCACCACGCCGTCAGCTTCAGGGTGGAGGTCACGGGTGAGCGAGCGCGGGGCCTCCGGGTTTTCACTTAAAATTCACTTCGTTCTTGTTCAGCCCTAAATCACAAAGGTCCTCAGAGATAGCTACTGTTGAATTCACACACACATATGCACACACACCTACGCATATACACACACATATACAGATAGATAGATAGATAGATAGATACTTTATTGATCCCCGTCGGAGAAATTCAGGTGTCCAGTAGCAGCAAAAATAAAAAATTATATTGATCATTCTAAAAAGTTAAAAATAGTAATAATCAGCAACAGCTCTTTAGGTCACAGCTGCAGAGGTGGAGTAGCCTCTGGGTGGAGCAGGACGGGTCACAGCAGCAGAGGTGGAGTAGCCTCTGGGTGGAGCAGGACGGGTCACAGCAGCAGAGGTGGAGTAGCCTCTGGGTGGAGCAGGATGGGTCACAGCAGCAGAGGTGGAGTAGCCTCTGGGTGGAGCAGGACGGGTCACAGCAGCAGAGGTGGAGTAGCCTCTGGGTGGAGCAGGACGGGTCACAGCAGCAGAGGTGGAGTAGCCTCTGGGTGGAGCAGGACGGGTCACAGCAGCAGAGGTGGAGTAGCCTCTGGGTGGAGCAGGACGGGTCACAGCAGCAGAGGTGGAGTAGCCTCTGGGTGGAGCAGGACGGGTCACAGCAGCAGAGGTGGAGTAGCCTCTGGGTGGAGCAGGACGGGTCACAGCAGCAGAGGTGGAGTAGCCTCTGGGTGGAGCAGGACGGGTCACAGCAGCAGAGGTGGAGTAGCCTCTGGGTGGAGCAGGACGGGTCACAGCAGCAGAGGTGGAGTAGCCTCTGGGTGGAGCAGGACGGGTCACAGCAGCAGAGGTGGAGTAGCCTCTGGGTGGAGCAGGACGGGTCACAGCAGCAGAGGTGGAGTAGCCTCTGGGTGGAGCAGGACGGGTCACAGCAGCAGAGGTGGAGTAGCCTCTGGGTGGAGCAGGACAGGTCACAGCAGCAGAGGTGGAGTAGCCTCTGAGTGGAGCAGGACAGGTCACAGCAGCAGAGGTGGAGTAGCCTCTGGGTGGAGCAGGATGGGTCACAGCAGCAGATGTACACACACACATAAAGGGCGTCATAGCGTGCACACACACACACACACACACACAGGTTCCAACACTTTTTACCACTTCTATCTCATTCTCCATATTTGATTACTACATTTGTCAGTATTTCAGAGATGTGTTAGTGTGTGTGTGAGTGTGCCGGGTGTGTGTGTGTGTGGCAGGTCCTCCGGTGGTGTTCCGGTCCGTGCCTGAGGAGGAGCAGCACAAGAGCAGTTTGGAGCTGGACCCCGTGGTTCTGCTGTGCCACGTCTCCAGAGAGGACGCCGCTGTGACCTGGTAAATGTGGCTGTGTGGGTCTGTAGTGTTGGGTTTGTGTGTTGATAAAGTGTGTGTGTGTGTGTGTGTGTTTTCAGGTCCAAGGACGGCTGTGAGCTCCAGGCCGGGGAGAACGTCACGCTGCAGGCAGAGGGCACCATGAGGAGGCTGATCATCCGCTCGGCTCTGGCCTCAGACGCCGGAGTCTACGTCTGCAGAGCTGGAGACAACAGCCAGGAGTTCACCGTCAGTGTCAGAGGTGAAGGACACACACCCCAAAGAGAGAGAGACACCCCAAAGAGAGAGAGACACCAAAGAGAGACTGTTAGGGACCAAGCAGTAAAGCACCAAGACAAAGGTTCAAATCTTGCAAAAAAGGGTTTATAGGCCATATAGACAAACAGGCCATTAAAAAGGTCAAAAGAATAGAACTTTACAGAAAGCAAATGTTAACTTAATGAGAACTTAACACCTACAAACTGACCTCCCAAATAAAACATAACCCAACATATATATACTGCCCAGCCCAATTACCCACAGCTGTACCAACCCACATAAGACCGCCCCTTTTTCCTCTTCAAATCAGGAGGGACAAGGCTCATGATGTCATCCTGTGGGGTGTAGCCATCACAGAGACAGAGAGAGAGACCAGAGAGAGACCAGAGAGAGACCAGAGAGAGAGACCAGAGAGAGAGACCAGAGAGAGAGACCAGAGAGAGAGACCAGAGAGAGAGACCAGAGAGAGACCAGAGAGAGAGACCAGAGAGAGAGACCAGAGAGAGAGACCAGAGAGAGACTAGAGAGAGACCAGAGAGAGACCAGATAGAGACCAGAGAGAGACCAGAGAGAGAGACCAGAGAGAGAGACCAGAGAGAGACTAGAGAGAGACCAGAGAGAGACCAGAGAGAGAGACCAGAGAGAGAGACCAGAGAGAGAGACCAGAGAGAGAGACCAGAGAGAGACCAGAGAGAGACACCAGAGAGAGAGACCAGAGAGAGACCAGAGAGAGACCAGAGAGAGAGACCAGAGAGAGAGACCAGAGAGAGAGACCAGAGAGAGAGACCAGAGAGAGAGACCAGAGAGAGAGACCAGAGAGAGAGACCAGAGAGAGAGACCAGAGAGACACCAGAGAGAGAGACCAGAGAGAGACCAGAGAGAGAGACCAGAGAGAGACCAGAGAGAGACCAGAGAGAGAGACCAGAGAGAGAGACCAGAGAGAGAGACCAGAGAGAGACCAGAGAGAGACACCAGAGAGAGAGACCAGAGAGACCAGAGAGAGACCAGAGAGAGAGACCAGAGAGAGAGACCAGAGAGAGAGACCAGAGAGACACCAGAGAGAGACCAGAGAGAGACCAGAGAGAGAGACCAGAGAGAGAAACCAGAGAGAGAGACCAGAGAGAGACCAGAGAGATAAAGCTTTAATGGTGTGTGCAGAGCCTCCGGTGATGATCGTGGAGCCCAAAGATGACATGGTGGTGGACGCGTACGTGTCGGAGGACGTGCTGCTGCAGTGTGAGCTGTCCCGCTCTGCAGGCCGGGTCCGCTGGTCCAAAGACGGACAGGACGTGGAGGAGGAGGGGCCCCAACAGGACCTGGAGCAGGAGGGGCCCCGTGTGAAGCTGACGGCTGAGGGCCCCTACAGGAGCCTGAGCATCCACAACTGCACCGTAGAGGACAGCGGCGAGTACGTGTGCGAGACCGACGGAGACTCGCTCTTCTTCCAGCTCAACGTCACAGGTCTGGTCTCTCTCTGGTCTCTCTTTGGTCTCACTCTGATCTCTCTCTTTGGTCTCTCTCTGATCTCTTTCTCTAGCCTCTCTCTGGTCTCTCTCTCTGGTCTCACTCTGATCTCTCTCTGGTCTCTCTCTCTGGTCTCTCTCTGGTCTCTCTCTCTGGTCTCACTCTGATCTTTCTCTCCAGCCTCTCTCTGATCTCTCTCTCTGGTCTCTCTCTCGGGTCTCTCTCTGATCTCTCTCTCTGATCTCTCTCTCTGATCTCTCTCTCTGGTCTCTCTCTCTGGTCTCTCTCTGGTCTCTCTCTGGTCTCTCTCTCTGGTCTCTCTCTGGTCTCTCTCTCTGGTCTCTCTCTGGTCTCTCTCTCTAGCCTCTCTCTGGTCTCACTCTGATCTCTCTCTCTGGTCTCTCTCTGGTCTCACTCTGAACTCTCTCTCTGATCTCTCTCTCTAGCCTCTCTCTGGTCTCACTCTTTCTGGTCTCACTCTGATCTCTCTCTCTGGTCTCTCTCTCTGGTCTCTCTCTCTGGTCTCTCTCTGGTCTCTTGGCTTCTCTCTGGTCTCTCTCTTGTCTCTCTATGGTCTCCCTCTGGTCCCTCTCTGGTCTCTCTCTGGGTTCTCTCTTTAGTCTCTCTCTGGTTTCTCTCTCTCTGGTTTCTCTCTTGGCAAAAAGTCTCCAATCCCTGTAAATTCCCGGGCCGCCTTACATGAACTGCATGTGTGAGATCTTCCCAGAGCAGCTCGATGATGTCATAATGTAAAAATAACGAACAAACACTAACAATGAGTGTTCATTTATGTAGCGCCTTTCACAGACCAGAGACCCCACCACACCGGAGCACCTGGAGGAAACCTACACCTCCTCATATTCATTGGGAAAAACAAACACAGATAACTGATATTCTGTCTGTAATGTGGTTTGTTTTCGTAGAGCCGCCGGTCCGCTTCATCTTCCCCACGGAGCCGGAGTTGGAGCTGACTCACACGGCCTCGGAGAGACTGGAGCTGAGATGTGAGGTGTCCCAAGCTGAGGCCCCCGTGCTCTGGTTCAAGGACGGCCTGGAGGTGGAGGAGGGCCCCAACCTGCAGCTGGAGGTGGAGCAGGCCACACGCAGACTGGTCATCCCCGTCCCCACACCGCAGGACAACGGGGAGTATGTGTGTGACACCGAGGACGACTCCGTGGCCTTTTTACTCACGGTCACAGGTCAGAAAAAAACATATTTTGATAATAATATACAGCTATAAAATCACTCTTTATCTGTAGAGTACATTTAACACATCCTCGGCTTCCCAGTAACACTTAAAGTACATTTTGATTATGAAAAAAATAGCTGGATACTGTAAGCCCAAAAAATTATATACTTTCTTATATACTTTTGGTCATTTCTAAATAAAATATATATATATATAAACAAGCTGTGAGTTGGACACAGTCAAACTACTTCAGTTGTCTCCCCTCGACGTGGCGGAGCAGCAGCTGCACTCTGAGCTCCCCCACAGCTCGTGTTATGAAGGCAGGACTTAAAGGTACTGCACTAAGGAGGATTTTCTACTTCCTGGTGGATCATCAAGACTATTGGTTCTCCCACTTGTCAATCATTCTGGTGACACGTGCTCGTCCAATAAGACCAGAGGGTTTTGTTGAAAAGTGGAGAGGGCGGGTCTTTCCTAATATTTGGGAAAATCCTCCTATATATCTTTAACTACTGCTTTTGTTTATTTTGTTGTAGTACCCAACCTGGCCATCGGGGGTGTATCCGCTGGTGAGCAATAGAAAGTTTAGCTAATTTTAAAGGGGACATATCATGAAAAATCCACTTTTTGTGACTTAAATGCCTTATGTTGTGTAGTTGGAGCCTCTAGAAGTGCAAAAAAGTTGAAATCAGTCTCTTCATGGGTTGCAGAGAACACTTCATATTCTGTTTAGGTAAGATTTTTCAACCCGTTCTGATTTTGCCATTCTCTATTACGTGTTTAGAATGATTACGTCACAGTATTTGCAGCGAGACTGCTATATAAGGGCATGGGCGTCTAACAAAACCCTTCGGCCCAGCCCTCCTCTACTGTGCATTACTTCATTTGTAGTCCAAGCTCAAGGATGCCAGCGCACAGGGCTGGACTGGCCATCGGCCGTACCGGGCAATGCCCAAAGGGCCGATGCCCATATTTGGGCCGGTCTGTCTGCCTCATACAAAACACATGTTTATGAGAAGTGTAAATCCGTTGAGAATTGTTGGAGCGGGGCGCGCGTATCCGCGGGGCACCTGCTGTATGTACTCGAACGGGATTCCACCACCTCAGCGGCCGCAGTGTTCCAGGGCATCTGCGGCCGCTTTGTAATGAGCAGCTTCCGCGTCCAGCGGCTGCGAGAGGCTGTGAGCGTCCAGCCGCTCGCAGCCGCTCCACCGTGTTGTGGCTGAGCGCACAGCCTCAACGTGGCCATGTACCCAACCCCATAAACGCGCACAGGACCATGCGTGTCTTTGTGTAATCTGAGCACCCAATAAATACACTGCTGCAGGAAACAGTCTGCGTCTCCGCTCTCCTCTCGAAGCGCGATTAAACGCCCTAAATAAAGCTCTGATACCTACATTTTGCATTGCATTAAAAGTTCATGTTTGAGCCCAAAAGTAATATGTTGTGAACAAATTAAACAGATTTAGAGCCAGCAAATGGCTGACAATATGCATTTCAGTCTTTTTTGACCAATTCTCATCCCTGTAACAAACAATAGTGTAGTCTGTGTCCACCTCCCTCACTCTGAGACATGTTTATTACTCTCTTTAATGTAGACTATTGCATTTTATTTTATTGTTGAAACTGCACATATCCTGATCCTCTACAGTATTTGCTTCCACATACTGTATAAACCAGGAGTCGGCAACCTGCGGCTCCGGAGGCGCATGCGTCTCTTTCCTTCTGTAGAAGGAAAAACGTTCTTAACGTTTTTAAATGCTGTAAAATTGTGCATAAGTAATATTCAAATATTCAATATTCAATTCAATTTTCTGTCAATGTGTCTGTCAAACCGGCGTGTGAGCATCATAGACTGTGCGCATGGATCCCAAAGCTAAAATGAGAAGAGTCAATAATAAGACTGGACTAAGAATGAAACTTAACATTTGCTTTCAGTCAATGAGGAAGGCCTGCTTCATGTTTGCGATGTAATGAGAAGTTTCTATTAGATAATTGTATCTGTGCTTAGAAACTACAAAAATGGCCACTCGGGGTGGAGTTGAACCTGTGTCACCTGGATGGGGGCGTGGTCAAAAGCGCCTCATTTGCATTTAAAGAGACAGCACCAAAACAGGTTGCTCTCAGACGCACCTCAGAACAGGTGTAGAAGAAAGGCCTGTGGAGCTACAAATAATGAGACTCAGACCCAGGCATTGCAGTTACGCTTTATATAGGCCACAAATTAATGATTTAGATGTAAAAATCAATTATTTGAAAACACGATATGTCCACTTTAAGATAAGATAAGACTTTATTGATCTCTGATGGAGAAATGTACACGTCACATAAGCACAGAGAGAATAACTCAGGATATAATTATGTACAATGAAAAGTAGCAATAGCAGACTCATTGTACAGTCTGACAGCTGTGGGTTTATCTGTGTGTCTGGGAGATGGTTGCAGGTTCAAGTTTTGTGTGTAAACAGCGTGTGTGCGTCCATTAGAGAGCCACACACAGACAGACACACACACAGACACACACACACAGACACACACACACACACACACAGACACACACACACACACACACACACACACAGACACACACACAAACACACACACACAAATACACCTTTATCACAGCTCTTGACCCTCGTCTGTGCCCGTTTCAGAACCGGCCGTCTCGCTCCGTCGCCCGCAGCACCTGCAGGAAAACCTGAAGTGTCTCGCGGACGTCCCCCTGGTCCTAGAGAGCGAGGTGTCCCGGACCAGTGCCCGGGTCACATGGTGTCTGGACGGAGAGCCGATAGAACCCAACCCCAACGTGAGCATCAGCGAGGACGGACTCACCCGGCGCCTGACCGTCCACTGTCCCTCCACGTCTGACTCGGGGACATACACCTGCGGCGCCGGGGACGACCACATCCACTTCCACGTCCAGGTCACAGGTCAGAATCAGGACAATAACAAAAATAAGCAATTTTAAAGCTACATTTGACTTTTAAACTGGTGCTGTTGGATAATCTACGTGTTGTTCTGATCGGTACCACTGCTTCAAAGGTCCCACATTTATTTTTTTACAGTTTGTCCTATGCACTTAAAGCTGGACTACCTCACTTTATGTTTGTATACATTAGGAACATTTAGTGCATGTCCGTGCAGTGCATTTGGATAAACGTCCTTTTGAAGAATAAGTAGCTCAGGTTTGTGCTGGAGCGTCATTTTATTTTAGATCGAGTTTTTGTGAAACAAGGAAGAGAATTTGTTTTGGGACCAGATTGTGACCAATCACAGCGGACCACTGGCCCCCACTTTCTTGAGAAAAGCCACAGGTCTGTGGTTAGCACAGACAGCTGAGGTAAACAAGCGGCGGAGGCTAACCTCAAACTTCCCGTGTCTTTGTTACCGGTTACTGCTCACTCAGCGAAACAGACAAAAGAAAGTCTGGTTCTTCCGCACTTCCCGGTTCTATCATTCTATGGTCACGCCACGTTCACATGTGTCCATGTGAGACGTGAGCTCCGTAAACAACAGGACATGAGCACAGGCTGAGTGGGGGGGGGGGCAGTGGGGGGCGATAGCTTCGTGAGTGCAGGGAGGGGAGCAGAAAGCGCGAGGCCAGCGCTTACTTTTGAAACGCTGCTTTGAAAACACAAAGTGAGTTAGTGCAGCTTTAATGTGGTACACCGTACAACACTTGGAAATTATAACCATTTCTTGCGTAGAGTTGATGTTACTACGATTGAAACACTTGGGTCTGTGCTCGTTTCCCTGTGAGAATCAAACCCTAAGTATTTAGTTCACAGAAGTGGTGAAGTGTCACTCACAGAAGCACAGATTTCAAAGTCAGATCCCGTGAATAGAAAGTCCAGGAATAGACTCGCTCATTCTTCATCCTCTGGCCAAGATATTAACACCAAAAACACATTTCTCCAACTTTACATGACGCTAACGCTTTGAGTCGCTGGCAATAGTAGAAAATTGTATGGAAGCAAACACAGACTGTGATGGATGCGGAGGCTGGGAAAGGCAGTGCAATCCACCTGCTGGAGCTCAGACAAAACAGTACAAACTCAGTGTATAGTAAAAAAAACGCTAATTTCAGTGTAAAAGATGTAAATAACGGTGATGGGTGTGTCTCCTCTTCAGAACCTCCGGTCAGCATCGTCCGGAAGCAGGAAGTGAACACGGCCGTGGCTGCGACCGTGGGGGACGACGTGGTTCTGGAGTGCGAGGTGTCGAGGCCCGACGCCGTGACCAAGTGGTTCAGGGACGGCGAGCGGGTGGAGAGCGGCGAGCGGGTGTGTGTGGAGGAGGAGGGGCCGTTCCGCTCGCTGGTCCTGCTCTGTGCCGAGGTCCAGGACAGCGCAGAGTACTTCCTGGACGCTGGAGACGACGGGATCAGCTTCCAGGTCACGGTCCGAGGTACACACACATACACTACACAGACACACACACACCAAAAAACAAGTGCACACACGCTACACGGGTACACACACGCGATACACAGGTACACACACATGCTACACTTACACATGCACACACACTCTCATATACAGACTCCTACTTAATCATACACACACACATACATACACTACTCACACATAATTACACTTGACTACACAAATACACTTAAATGCACATACACCACAAATGCTAACACAAACACACACATACACAAACTCAAGAATACACAAGCACATGCAGTTACACACATTCACACACACACACATAGCCAAGGTATGTGTGTGAAGAGCAATATGAAGAGATCCCATTCATAATATCACGTACACACACACACACACACACAGACACACACACACACACACACAGACACACACACACACACAGATACTAACGTGTGGCGTGTCCTCAGAGCCTCCGGTCCGCATCGTTGGAAACTCGTCTGACGTGGATTATCAGGAGATGGTGGCGGGAGACGAGCTGATCTTGGCCTGTGAGGTTTCTCGGGTCGACGCTCCGGTCCGATGGTTCTGGAACGACCGGCCGCTGCTCCCGGACTCCCGGGTCGTCATCCAGAGCTCGGGAACGCTACACAAACTCATCATCTCCGACATACAAACTTCCCACTCCGGACAGTACGTGTGCGACGCCCTGGACGACAGGATGGTCAGCGTGGTGCGGGTGCAAGGTGGGCTCAGAGTTACACACACACACACACACACACACACACACACACACACACATACACACACACGCACACATGCACACACTCACACTACACACATACACACACACATACACCCACACATACACAAACACATGCACACCCACACACACGTGCACACATACATACAGTTCATATACACACACATACACACGCACACATGCACATTACATATATACACACACGCACACATATATACACACACACACACACACATACACACACACGTGCACACATACACACAAACACACATACATACACATGCACACACACACACTCACACTACACACATACATATGCACAAACATGCACACACACATATATAGCCACACACATACACTAAACACACACATACGCACACAGATACACACACACAACACACACACACACAAAGACATACACATGCAGACGCATACACACACAACCACACACAGACACACACACACACACATACACGCACGCACACACGCACACACACTTCCTCTGGCCCCTGCCTCCTTCTACAGCACTAACCTCTGACCCCTGCCTCCTTCTACAGCACTAACCTCTGACCCCTGCCTCCTTCTACAGCACTAACCTCTGACCCCTGCCTCCTTCTACAGCACTAACCTCTGACCCCTGCCTCCTTCTACAGCACTAACCTCTGACCCCTGCCTCCTTCTACAGCACTAACCTCTGACCCCTGCCTCCTTCTACAGCACTAACCTCTGACCCCTGCCTCCTTCTACAGCACTAACCTCTGACCCCTGCCTCCTTCTACAGCACTAACCTCTGACCCCTGCCTCCTTCTACAGCACTAACCTTCGGTCTCTCTGCAGAATCTCCCGTCACCTTCATAAACAAACAGGAGGACTTGGTTCTGGTCGGGTTCGAGGCCGAGAGCCTGGACCTGACCTGCTACGTGTCCAGGGAGAGCGCGGCGGTGCGGTGGCTGAAGGACTGGACCCCGGTGGAGGGCGAGCGCTTCAGGTCCGTGATGGAGGGACATAAGCGCACTCTGACCCTGCAGCCCCTGAGGAGGTCCGACGCCGGGGAGTACACGTGTGACGCGCACACCGACCAGTGCCACTTCAGCCTGCTCGTCAAAGGTTCCACTTCAATTCAATTTCATTTCATTTTGTATAAGTTCCTAAATCTCAACAAAAATGATCTCGGAAAACACTTCAAACACAAAGAATAAAATGTTAAAAGCACACTGGTCCATAAGAGGGAGATGACCTTAGACCCTTCTGCATCAGAGAGGAACAACTTTGAAAAAACCCAGTGGACAAAAACGTGAAAATGTGGAGTCCAATATTCCACGTCTTTGACCCACTTCCACCTTATTTTTTTATTTATTTATCAATCAATCCACCACTGCGCTCTGAAAGGCATGATTAAGGAAAGGGACTTCTTCATGAGCCAAGAGCCAGCAAAAGCTCCTTAGCAACCGTTGCTATGACCAAACAGTAGACACACACACACGCAGGGGAAAAAGCTACATTTTCAACATTTAACTCATTTAATCAATATATTTCTATCGTGTTTAACTTCCTGCTGAAGTAAAAGTGACTTTATAATAAACTGTAAATTAACTGTTTGATAATAAAGTATAATGTATGTGTAACTCATGTAAAAGCTGCAATGTTAAAGAAGTATGAAAATTAGACTTGGACAGGAATAGTGTGAGATATTTGATTTGAACAAACAAACATGAATATGGTTTGTTTCTTTTTTGACCATTTGTAAACATTTTAGGAATATGACAGTTCGGTATTTTATTGTATATATTGTAAATAATTAAATATAGAATACAAAAACATCAGAAAATACTGTAAATATGTATATGATTGTAACCATATGTATGTATATAGATATATATATTTATATATGCACATTTTTTAAAAGACAGCATGTAAAGTGTGAAGCAACAAAAGGGGCAGATATAAGACTTGTTCTTCTCCTCTGCTCCGTTTCATTCATGCTATGTTGGATTGGCGGTCTTGTGGTGATTGCATGATGTCACTTTTGAATAAATGAAATAAATAATAAAAATACAAAAAAATACAAAAAAAATTACAACTCATTGTTTGGACACCTTTACCCCATAAGAAAATAAATAAATGCACACGGTAAGTTTTAACAAAGAAAATAACAGGGGCCTTGGTAGTTAAGTGTAGCCAAAAAATGTACTGGCCCGGACCAATCGGGGGGGTTCAGCCACAGTATGGAGGCCCCCCCCGTGTGGCTCCCCCGGGTCTCACCTGCTCCGGTCTGCTTTTGGACAGAGATGCGAGTGAAGTTCACCGAGCCGCTCCAGGACACGGTGGCCCGCGCGGACGGCATGGTGACCCTGCGTTGCCAGGTTGGGAAGGCCAAGGCGGACGTCCAGTGGCTGCGGGGCGGGCAGGAGATCACACCCAGCCGCAGGTACACCATCCGGGCCGAGGGGCAGGAGCGCAGCCTCACCATACACCGTCTGACCAGAGACGACGCCGGGGAGTACGCCTGCGAATCCAAGGATGACCGCACCGCCGCCCTGCTGGTGGTGGAGAGTGAGTGCGTTTATAATGTGTCTGCATGGGGCGAAAGACTGTATACATAGTTCCTACATGACGTCACTACATACGGGGATTTGCCGACCCGGCGACATTTGTCTTGGCATGCTGTGGGCAAAACAATAGTAAAAGAAGCTGAAACGTGTTAATGTCGTGAAAGTTGAAAATGGTCATCTCCTGCTGGGTCAATGGATGTTCAAATCGTGCCGGAGGTTCTGTTAAACTTGGATTTTACAGTATACCCATCATTAGACTTCATGAATGTGAGAAGACTAAGCTTTTGTCAGAACAACCACGGAGGTTATGGCTTGCGAAGATAAACAGGCAAGAAACTCCCTCAAAACACGCAAGAATATGCTCGGAGCACTTTGTGTCAGGTGCGTATCGTATCTTATAATGTGTTGACAGACGTAATTTACTCAGTACTAACTTGTGTATGCTGATAGCTGGTAACTTGAGAGTTTCATTATTTAGATTACTTTATTATGAGGACGATCGGTGTCGCGTCCGAGGCTCTCGAGGGCAACGTAAATGTATTAAATAGATAATAATAGTTCTATGGTGGGCTAAAACAATGTTCACAAACAGCATTGCTTCTGTAAAAAGATCTGTGTCATAAAATAAACTGCTCTTTACGCCTGGAAAAATCAGTTGCCCACCATTCACCAAAACATACGGTCAAAAACGCGGACATTAACACGTTTCAGCTTCTTTTTCTATTGTTTTGCCCACAGCATGCCAACACAAATGGCGCCGGGTCGGCAAATCCCCGTATGTAGTGACGTCATGTGGGAACTATGTATACAGATGGACAATGCTAACCCACTAGCTCAATGCTAACCCCCTAGCTCAATGCTAACCCACTAGCTCAATGCAAACCTCACTAGCGCAATGCTAACCCACTAGCTCAATGCTAACCAACTAGCTCAATGCAAACCCACTATGTAAATACTAATTCTCTAGCTCACTGCTAACCCCCTAGCTAGCCTGTGAAGCACTTGTTGTGACGTCACATCCTCTGTTTATTTTTTTTTTAATTATTATTTGTTCACAAACATGAGTTAAATCCACATCTTTTACACTTGAACATTTGTCTTTGTCCGCAGTGCCTCGTGTGGTGGAGTTCCTCACCGAGCTCCACAACACCACGGTGCTGGAAGGGGAAGACGCCACGTTCAAGTGCGTGGTCTCCCCTGAGGACGTGAGCCTGCGCTGGCTGATGGACAGCGTGGCGGTGGCGGTGGCGGTGGACGGGCGCATCACGGTCCTGCACAACGGTCTGTGCCACACGCTGGTCATCCACAAGTGCACCATGACCGACTGCGCTCGCATCACCGCCGAGGCCGAGGGGCAGGTCAGCAAGGCCAGCCTCCGAGTGCAAGGTGAGGACGATACAGACATCGGTGACGTCAAGAGTTTGTCGGAGAACGCCGTAAGAAAAGAATCTGTTCTGGTTCAAATATCAAGAAACTGAAGCCGGAGCCAGAGGAATGTTTAGTAAATGTCACTGCTGCAAAGATGTTGTGGCTCTACTCCCCACGGGCTCCGTTAGTGGCAACGGAGATGGCAAAAGCTAGGCTAAAAGCTAAAGCTAGGCTAAATGCTAAAGAAAGGCTAAATGCTAAAGCTAGTCTAAATGCTAATGATAGGCTAAATGCTAAATGCCTCATTCACTCAGGCGTCACGGTAAACTCCAATGGTTTCGAGCTGCAAAAGGAGTTAACCCCTCCCACCTGTTAACGGATCAGGTCTCTCTGGGTCCTGGTCTCTCTGGGTCCTGGTCTCTCTGGGTCCTGGTCTCTCTGGGTCCTGGTCTCTCTGGGTGCTGGTCTGGGTCCTGGTCTCACTGGGTCCTGGTCTCACTGGGTCCTGGTCTCACTGGGTCCTGGTCTGTGTGGGTCCTGGTCTCTCTGGGTCCTGGTCTCTCTGGGTCCTGGTCTCTCTGGGTCCTGGTCTCTCTGGGTCCTGGTCTCTCTGGGTCCTGGTCTCTCTGGGTGCTGGTCTGGGTCCTGGTCTCACTGGGTCCTGGTCTCACTGGGTCCTGGTCTCACTGGGTCCTGGTCTCTCTGGGTCCTGGTCTCTCTGGGTCCTGGTCTCTCTGGGTCCTGGTCTCTCTGGGTCCTGGTCTCTCTGGGTCCTGGTCTCTCTGGGTCCTGGTCTCTCTGGGTCCTGGTCTCTCTGGGTCCTGGTCTCTCTGGGTGCTGGTCTGGGTCCTGGTCTCACTGGGTCCTGGTCTCTCACTGGGTCCTGGTCTCACTGGGTCCTGGTCTCACTGGGTCCTGGTCTCACTGGGTCCTGGTCTCACTGGGTCCTGGTCTCACTGGGTCCTGGTCTCTCTGGGTCCTGGTCTCTCTGGGTCCTGGTCTCTCTGGGTCCTGGTCTCTCTGGGTCCTGGTCTCTCTGGGTCCTGGTCTCTCTGGGTCCTGGTCTCTCTGGGTGCTGGTCTGGGTCCTGGTCTGGGTCCTGGTCTCACTGGGTCCTGGTCTCACTGGGTCCTGGTTTCTCTGGGTCCTGGTCTGGGTCCTGGTCTCTCTGGGTCCTGGTCTGGGTCCTGGTCTCTCTGGGTCCTGGTCTCACTGGGTCCTGGTCTCTCTGGGTCCTGGTCTCACTGGGTCCTGGTCTCACTGGGTCCTGGTCTCACTGGGTCCTGGTCTCTCTGGGTCCTGGTCTCACTGGGTCCTGGTCTGTGTGGTCCAGAGGCTCAGATCACCTTCACCAAGAGGATGGAGTCGGTGATGGCGGAGGAGATGGAGGACGCCACGCTGCAGACGGAGGTGAGCCTGGACTCGGGGGAGGTGCAGTGGATGAGGCAGGGCGTGGTGATCCAGGCCGGGCCGCACTACTCCCTCACCCACGAGGGCCGCACCCGCCGCCTCACCCTCCACAACCTCACCCTCAACGACCGCGGGACGTACCGCTGCGAGAGCCTCCACGACCGCACCCAGGTCAAGCTGCACGTGGAGCGTAAGTGACACCCTTTACTCACCCCTTACTCACCCTTTACTCACCCCTTACTCACCCTTTACTCACCCTTTACTCACCCCTTACTCACCCCTTACTCACCCTTTACTCACCCTTTACTCACCCTTTACTCACCCCTTACTCACCCTTTACTCACCCCTTACTCACCCTTTACTCACCCCTTACTCACCCCTTACTCACCCTTTACTCACCCCTTACTCACCCCTTACTCACCCCTTACTCACCCCTTACTCACCCTTTACTTACCATTACTTACCATTTACTTACCCTTTACTCACCCTTTACTCACCCTTTACTCACCCTATACTCACCCCTTACTCACCCTTTACTCACCCTTTACTCACCCCTTACTCACCCTATACTCACCCCTTACTCACCCTTTACTCACCCTTTACTCACCCCATACTCACCCCTAACTCACCCTTTACTCACCCTTTACTCACCCTTTACTTTCCCCTTACTCACCCTTTACTTGCCCTTTAATCACCCTTTACTTACCCCTTACTTACCCTTTACTTGCCCTTTACTCACCCCTTACTCACCCTTTACTCACCCTTTACTTACCCCTTACTCACCCTTTACTTGCCCTTTACTCACCCCTTACTCACGCTTTACTCACCCCTTACTCACCCCTTACTCACCCTTTACTCACGCTTTACTCACCCTTTACTCACCCTTTACTCACCCTTTACTCACCCTTTACTCACCCTTTACTCACCCTTTACTCACCCTTCACTCACCCTTCACTCACCCTTTACTCACCCTTTACTCACCCTTTACTCACCCTTTACTCACCCTTTACTCACCCTGGGGAGCTCCGGCTGCTCTGACAAACCAGATACTGTAAATATAGGCCGACATTTGATACACCACAATGACATTTCTCTATTTTCTTTGTGTGTGGTAGTTATGGTCTCTGGTCTCTCTCTAGTCTTTCACTGGCCTGTCTCGGTCTCTCTGGGGTCTCTCTCTCTGGTCTCTCTCTGGTCTCTCTCTGGTCTCTCTCTGGTCTCTCTCTGGTCTCTCTCTCTGGTCTCTCTCTCCAGATGCTATGCCAGATATGTGTGTATATAAATACAGTATAAGTCTGTTTGGAGAGAGACCAGCCTGGCCGACCTCTGCTCTCATTGTTGCTCACTGACCTTTGGTTTCTCAGAAGGTAAAAGCTCTGGAGCGGGTCAGGTGCAGCTGCTCAGAGAGGGTTTCTCAGAAGGTAAAAGCTCTGGAGCGGGTCAGGTGCAGCTGCTCAGAGAGGGTTTCTCAGAAGGTAAAAGCTCTGGAGCGGGTCAGGTGCAGCTGCTCAGAGAGGGTTTCTCAGAAGGTAAAAGCTCTGGAGCGGGTCAGGTGCAGCTGCTCAGAGAGGGTTTCTCAGAAGCATTTATGCAGCTGTGGAGCTGTAGTGGGGATGTTCCTTTGTCGTGGGATAAGCTGCTGCTGTTTTAGATTGAGCCATAATCCTCCAAAAGCAAATCAGACCAACACAAGTACACATGTAGTATGTTGTTTCAAACACACACTCACTCTGGGAAATCAGAGCACCTGGAGGAAACCTATGCAGACACAGGGAGAACATGCAAACTCCACACTGATAGACTGTCTGGAGGTGGACTCAAACCCAGGACCTTCTTGCTGTGAAGCACAAGCACAAACCACTGGACCACTTACATTAACCACATTCATGACATGTTAGATGTCGGACTATGGTGCATGCAGTTCCCTTTATCTACCACCAGGTGGAGCTAGCTCCTCCTCACTCACGTGTGTTTTACCTGCAGCTCGAAAGATCAGCGTCCGCAGTGCGCTGCTGGACCAGGAGGCGTTCGAGCGAGAGGCCGCCTCCTTCCAGCTGGAGCTGTCCCACACCGACGTGGAGGGCTCCTGGCAGAAGGACGGCATCCGGGTCAAACCCAGCGCCCAGGTCCGGGTGAGCCGCAACGGGCGAGTGCACAGTCTGACCCTGTCCGGCCTCACTCTGGAGGACACTGGCACCATCGTGTTCACCGCAGACGGTCTGCGCACCTCCGCCAGGCTCACGGTCAAAGGTCAGGCCTGTTCCCTCAGACCCTTCACTTTGGAGAGAAAACCTGAAACTAGTGTTTCAGCCCAGAGTCAGTTTAGGCTGTGAGAATAAAGACACTCTATCGAGTATGTATGAAGTATGTATGAAGTATGTATGAAGTATGTATGAAGTATGGATGAAGTATGTATGTAGCATCTACTGGATCTGTATTTTTAATGAAAAACATTTGGACTATAGATTTGTGATTTACAAACACATTTGATGACCCACAATTATATTTTTCTAGCTCAGTTGGTAGAGTATTGGCCTTTGAGCCAGAGGGTCGTGGGTTCGAGTCCGACTTTCACCATCAACTCCCACTGTCTGCTGTCGTTGTGTCCTTAGGCAAGACATTTTACCCCCATTGCATAGAATGAGTCTGTGTGTGTGTGAATGGTTGGTGGTGATTAGAAAACAATGTAATATTTTTGCATACCGTCCCGAGAGCTGATTGGCTGAGTGAGGAATCTATTTCACATTTTTGTCATAAAACTGTACCAAAATACACGCAGTGAAAACTAGTGATACAATTGTTTTAGACCGCAGGAACTATAGAAACATGGAGTTAATTACTAAGTTCAATGTTTTTGCCGTTTCAAAATTAGGTACCGCAGCTTTAATAAACTCCTTTGAACTCTATATGTCTCTGCACCTGTGTTCACGCCGCCCTCAACAGCAGCAGGAGTAGCAGGAGTGGGGGTGTACATTGGCTCCTCTGGGCCCCTGATCCTGGGGGCCTCTTCCTCTTGGGGCCGTTGCACAAGGGCGTGTTACAGCAGGTGATGCAGACCGAGTTGAGACGTCCGGTGCAGAACTGCTGGTACCCCGAGGAGGCGATGAGACAGGCCCCTGACGACGCACACGATTTCCGGTAGTAGACCCCTGCAACCACAGTGTCAGTACAGGGGACAGACAGCAGAGGGCGCCACAGGACTGGGACACATATGCATAGACTTTCAAGTTGACTTTTTGGAGCTTTTAAAGGTGTTGCCTCAGTTACAGATTTTTGTTTTTTGATCGACACATGGTAATATCAAGACTTCTGGCACAAACTTGTAGCCCCGCCCCCTCTGTCTAAAAGGTTGTCTGTCCTATAATAGTATGATGTCATTGTACCACATCACACTCAGAGCTGGCCTTTTAAAACAAAAGGTATTGAATAAATATTGATAATTGATGACGGAACAGAACATGTAGCATGTGGCTGTGATTAAATCAGGACTTTGGTCTAATTATCGATTACTTGTGGTGAAGAATACATCATTTGGCACATATTTAATTTTAGCAGATAAGCATGTTGTTGTTCTAAACAGCTTGTGTTGTATCTACAGTGTGTAACATGCACTCTGAGTCATTCCAATTAAAATCACAGCTAACCCAAACCTTCTCCTTGTATTATTTTGCAATGCACAGTTCAGAACCAGATGCATAGAATATGTGTGTGCTTAAAGCTGGGGTACGTAACCAAACTATGGCAGTCATCTAACCAGGGTGACTGTTTTCTGCCGGGTTTGTCTACTTTGAGGTGCTTCAGTCGGTGGCAGCACACAGCCGCTGGTTTCATTACCACCACCCTGCAAAAACCTTTTTACCTTTTTAAACACGTTTATATTCATTTTCTATGTCACAAAATTAGAAAACTTGTGTGGTCTGGACCTAAGAGAACAAGTTATTAAAGAACAAAAGCTACATTTTAAATGATACATTTTCCATCATTGTGCAAGTGTCTAGACAGACTGTTCGCTTTGTAGGAGCTGCTCCACTTACAAGGACACAGATGGAAAAGAAAATATTGCAACATGTTTACAAAATGTTGGACTTAAAGATCTGCGTTTCGATTCATTCAGTCTAAACTCAATTACTTGATTAAAAGAAAAACACTATTACAGTTAAATAAAAACGGACGGAAATTCGTTTTACAGAAAATATCTTAATTTCCGGATTATAAACTGCTACAATTTTTTTGATTCTTTAAACCCTATGGCTTATATAGCGATATGTAGCCAATGTGTGTATTTTTTGTGGTATAGATAAATTGGCAAAATATGGTATTGGGATTAGAACATGCGTGATAACACCTTGTCATTAAACCATATTCTACACAAAAAGCCGAAAAAGCATTAAATTATTTGTTTGTTTGTTTGTTTGGTGCCATAGACCTCAGCTGCGGCACTTGGTCTGTGAAGATTATTGCTTATGTTCAGTATCTTTTTCTCTACTTTTTTGTCTTATTAAAAGAACCTTCTAAGCCTTAAACATAAGAAGACAAAATTAACTTTTTACATTTACAAACCTTACAGCTGTTTGATGTGTAACAAAGCATTCTTCCATTAGTTTATACAAACGAAACCAGAGATAATTCATGTTTCAAATAAATTCTCTTAGTGATTTTGTTGAGCCGTAGTTGAACAGTTAGTTTTGATAAGTGATGAGTACATTTAGGCAAGTTAGGTTTATTTGTATGGCACAATTCATACACAAGGCAACTCAAAGTGCTGAACAAAACAAGACAAACACTCACACAAGTCTTTCAAATAATCACAGTACTTTAAAAATACAGATAAAAATGTAAAATCCCTCAGTATGCACAGCTAAACAGAACTGTTTTCAACCTAGATTTAAACATGGTCAGAAAAGAGGTCAGTCTCACTTTTTCAGGAAAATTGTTCCAGATTTTAGCAGCATGAATCTGAAAAGCAGCCTCCCCATGTTTAGTTCTGACTCTGGGCACTAACAGGAGTCCAGTCCCTGTGCTCCTCAGAGTCCGGGCTGGTTCATATGGGACTAACATGTCACTAATATATTTTGGTGCGAGGCCATGGAGAGACTTGTAACAAGCAGAGCTGTTTTAAAGTCTATTCTCTGAGCCACAGGAAGCCAGTGCAGAGACCTGAGAACTGGACTAATGTGGTCGTACTTCCTGGTTCTAGTCAGGACTCGAGCTGCTGCATTTTGAATGTACTGCAGCTGTTTTACAGCCTGTTTGGACAGACCTGTGAGCAGGCCATTGCAGTAGTCTAACCTACTGGAGACAAATGCATGGATAAGAATCTCCAAGTCTGCTTTAGACACTATGTTTTTGATCCTGGCAATGTTTTTTAGATGGTAAAAAGCTGCTGATGTTACTGATTTGATGTGGCTATTAAAAGGTATGTCTGAGTCCGTATGGGACCAGTCCAGTTTATTGTTCATGTGAACACCCAGGTACTTGAAGCTGCCCACCATCTCAATGTCCTTCCCCTGGAGCGTGTGGATTAGGTCCATTTAATGATGACTTGACATGAAAATCTTACTTATTGCTACTTTAAGCATAGAAAATGATGGATAGATCCTGATGTAATTAAAGTATTTGACCTCGTGATGGCGCAGTTACTGGAGCCCTGAACAAATCAAACAAAGAACAAATCTGACTGTGGACCGGAAGTGCTGCACAAACTGGTCTGCCCCGTGGATCTATAATAATAACGCCATGGATCTATTATAATATCGAGTCTACCATCCAAGCTTTTATTTACATAACTGTTAAGCTTAAATAGGCAATTTTAACATCGCGTAACACAGTATTGACGCTTCCAGGCCTGCGCAGTAACCATGGCAACTCTGCACGGGGTATGAGACCAACATGAGATTGTTATTAGCATTAGCATCGTTAGCAACAGCCCCTTACGTACAGGGCGTAAACAACGTCAGACTGCACTTTACGCCCTGCATTTAATTTGCCCCCCTCTATTCTTGCTGTGTGTCAGAACTTCAAACCTTTGATACATTTCCTGTTACTTTATAATCATGAAAGACAAAAAGACAATACACTGCCTTTATGATGCCAAAATGACGATTACCTACATGAAAATCCTCAATATCAAAATAAGGTTTACAGAGACCTTCTGAGGTTCAGCAAGAAAAACAAGATTTTGCCTAGTTACCTGAGTGATATTCATTCTCTGATAATCTGCTTGAAAACATCAAACGTACATGGTTTTGCCCTTGTATTTTTAATTAAGAATACATTCATTTACACGTTTTTTTTTTCCAACAAACCATACACCATTTGGAAGTAATATTAAAATAAATATAATAAAATAATCCAGTGATGTGTATTTTACAGACTTCCACATCTTTGTTCTGCAGCAGAAACAGACCCCCAGGGGATCACTCCTTCATGTGATTTGTATTTCAGTAAGTTAATAAGTATATATATAAGTATAAGTATTAGTGTTTATACAGCGTAATATACAGGCCAAAGTTACCTAAAGCGTTTTACGAGTGAGTTACGACTGTTTCACTGCTTTCCTGAATTTACTTTGTGTTATTCAATGTCTTGCAGGTGTCCACGTCACCTCTGCGAGTTCTGGTGTGAAGCAGGAAATGCCAGAGAGTCCACAGATGAAAGAGGAGCCAGAGGAACATGGCATCAAACAGGAGGAAGATGAGCTGCAAATGTGAGTCCCTCCCACTTTTGTACACTAGGTGGCAGAGTTTCCAGATGCCCTGAACATTTTCATCTGTTACCCGTCAGCAAAAACAGACTCTCAAAAGCATCAATACATTTATTATGACTTTCCTCCCAGTTTGTTCCACGCAAAACAAACTCCTCATCGGGATCCCTGGCAGGAGCCTTCAAAAGCTCCAGTACGTACAAAACAGCACGGCCAGGGTCCTGATGAGGGTGCGGAAGCATGAGCACATCACCCCCATCCTTCACACCCTCCACTGGCTCCCCGTTCACCTCCGTATAGAATACAAGATCCTCCTGCACACCCACCACTGTCTCCACGGTGATGCCCCCACCTACCTCACTGACCTCCTCACTCCACACTCCTCAGGCAGAACCCGGTCAGGCCAACAGCACCGTCTGCTCCCGCCCAGGACACGGCTCAAGACAATGGGGGACCGGGCCTTCGAGGCCGCTGCTCCCCGTCTGTGGACCACCCTCCCGGACCACCTCAGGGCCCCACAGACGGTGGAAGCTTTTAAAAAGGGACTCAAAACCCATCTTTTTACTAAAGCGTACTGCTAATTTTTTTATAGTCTTTTATCTGATTTTATGTGTTTGCTTTTATTTATGCTCCTGTTTGTAGCACTTTGAGATTTGATGTCAAATATAAAGTGCATTATAAATAAAATGTATTATTATTATTAAAAGTACAAAAAGTACAAGTAAGTAACGTTTATTTATATAGCACTTTTCACAGACCAGGATCACAAAGCGCATGCGAGAAAGCTGCCCAAACAAATAGGTCTTAAGTTGCAACGTAACATTGTCCACTGACTCTTAACATGCGCAGAGACTGGGGAAGCTCATTCCAAAGATGAGGAGCAACAGACTGGAAGGATCTGTCTCCTCAGGCTTTAAAACAAGTGCGAGGGACCATCCACAGGTTCTGAGAGGAGGACCTCAGGCTCCTGTTAGGCATAAGGCTGGATCAGGCACTTGATGTATTCAGGCGCCTGACCATGAAGAGCCCTGAAAGTCAAGTCTGAATATTGTATTTCTTTTGAATTAACAATGCAATACAACTTCAGAATTGTTTTAAATAAAATATGAAATTAAATCAGACAAATGCCTTTCTGCCGATTTAAGTGATCAAAATAGATTCAAAAACAAAAGACATCCCCAGGACAACAACAAAATACTTCAAATCTGTAAATCTCTAACAAGACAGAACTCTATTATTGGCCCCACATGTTCCGCTCGATCTCAATGCGTTGAATGTAGGGGCCTCCATGTTTTTAGTCAACAGGGGACAGGCAGAGCCACAGTGTTTTAAGATAATTGTGGTGTACATTTATGGTTTAGTAGATGATAAGAGTAAATAGAATTGTTGTATCCTAATTGACCTAAAACAGGAGATTCATTTGTCTTGTCTAAAACATTGCATCCAGTTTATGTAAGATTATATATTCTAATGGCATTTTTAAACTAATTAAAACAATGAATTTATAGCAGCTCTGTTGTGTCTGAATGCAGAGCTGTGAGTGTGAAAACAGAAGTCCAAGAAAGTCCTCAGACTAAAGAGGATCCAGAGGAACAGCGGATCAAACGGGAGGAGGAGCAACTGTGAGTTCAAGCACTTTCACATCTACAGCGTATTAACTTATGATTATTATTATATTTAAATCAGTGAGGAGTTTATTTTTCTGATTTGGATTCAAATTCTTTTCAGTACTGTCCGTCGGACCAGTAACGTCTCTTCTGTCTTCACACAAAGACGTGAGCACAGAGCGAAAACACAGGGAGAGGAGACGAGCTCGGAGACGGAGGGAGACACTGAGCACTCCTCTGACGATGAGGACGAAGAAGAGGCACATCTTCATCATCCTCAGCCTCTGTCTTCAGGCACAGATGAAGGGGACGATCATCAACGAGTCCAAATCAGAGCTGCTCAAAACATGAGGACACTAAAAGGAGACAGACCTTACAGCTGTTCAGCCTGTAACAAAACATTTTTAAAAAGGAGGGCTTTAAAACAACACATGAGAACCCACACAGGAGACAAACCTTTCGTCTGTTCGGTCTGTGACAGAGCATTTTCCCAGAAGGGTAATCTAAGAGCTCACATGAGAACACACACAGGCGACAAACCTTACAGCTGTTCCCTCTGTAACAAAGCGTTTTCCCAAAGGGGTCATCTTAACGTACACATGAAAACACACACAGGGGACAAGCCTCACAGTTGTACAATATGTGAGAAATCGTTTCCGGTAAAAGGCGCACTTTCAAGACACATGAGTCAACACACAGGCGATAAACCGTTTGTCTGTCCGTTCTGCGACAAAGCATTTTCCCGGAAAGGTAGACTCACTGAACACATGAGGACACACACCGGAGACGGGCCTTTCAGCTGTTCAGTCTGTGACAAAGCCTTTTCCCACAAGAGTATTCTCACGATACACATGCGGACACACACGGGGGAGAAGCCGTACCCTTGTACAATCTGCATAAAATTGTTTTCTGATAAACGTAATCTTTCAAGACACATGAACACACACAGGCGAAAAATGGGAGACTTTCAATTTGTAACAAAACATTTTCCAGAGTGAGGAGAACTGCACACCCGAGTATGCGACAGATGCAGAGAGCGACAGATTCTCAACTCTTCCAAATATTTAATGCATGAAACTGTTGGCTGACAGACCTTTCTCTGGTGAGGAAAACGATACAAGTCAATAATAATCAGCAGACAGAAGCAAGTGGAATTTTATGACATATCTGTTGATCTTTTTGAATTTTATTAAGACCGTTAAAAGACAATACTGGTGGTGCTGGCAAACGAAGACCTTTCAGAAGAGAAGGCTTTGTGGGGGCCTCGTATGGTGAGATTTTTAGAGAAAACTTTCCATCAGCAAGGGCATTAAAGATGAAACGTATCTGGGTGTTTTAGCATGAATCTGATCCCAAATCTACGTCGCCGGGGCAACAAAGGAGTGGCTCTGTAAGAAACATGTGAAGGTCCCGGAGTGGCCGATCAGCCTCCAGATCTCAACCCCATTGAAAATCTTTGGAGTTGAAAGTCTGTGTTGCCAAGAGACAGCCCCAAAACAACACTGCTCTACAAGAGATCTGCATGGAGGAATGGGCCAAAATACCAGCAACAGTGTGTGAAAAGAGTCTGCCAAAATGGACATTACACAATTGCCCATTACCACTATGTTTGTAATGTTTATGATATGAACGACCTCTCAGTGGGCTAAGGTTGACCATGTGGAGCGGATTCCTCTCTCAATGTGGATCTCCTCGAGGTTTCTCACTTTTCTCCCACTGGGTTTTTGAGTTTTTCCTTCCCGATGCAGAAAGGTCTGTTATTAGTGTCTAACAAGAAGGACTGTGGAGATGATTCAAGACACTCTTTACATTCTACAACATTCATGGACATTGGCCTCTCCCGATGGACCAATACCATGTGTTCTGTGGGGAGAGGAGGGAGAGGAGGGAGAGGGGGACGCGGAGAGAGGGAGAGGGCGGAGAGGAGAGAGGGGAGGAGAGGGAGTGAGGAGGGTGGAGAGAGGGGAGAGGAGAGGACGAGAGAGGGAGAGCGAGAGAGGGAGTGGGAGAGGGAGAGAGGAGGAGGGGGGAGAGGGAGGGAGAGGGAGAAGGGAGAGAAGAAGAGAGAGGGAGAGAGGGGAGAGAAGAGGGGAGAGAGGGGGAGAGAGAGAGGGGGAAGGGAGAGGAGAGAGAGAGGGGGAGAGGGGAGGCGAGAGAGGAAGAGAGAGGGAGAGAGGGAGGAGGAGAGAGGGGGAGAGAGGGAGAGAGAGGGGGAGAGAGCGGGGGATGAGAGAGCGAGAGAGAGGGAGAGGGGATGAGAGGGGCGAGTGAGAGCGGAGTGAGGAGGAGAGGGAAGGTAGAGAGGGAGAGAGGGGAGAGGGGAGAGAGGAGAAGGGGAGAGGGGAGAGAGGAGGAG